TTGCTTGCATGAGAAAACTGAACTGAACTGTGTTGAATCTCTGCTTTCTCAGCGGTCTGCAGGCCGACTATGTGCGCACACTGATGATGGACGAACCGCTTAACTCATTGAATACTGATTTAATGGCTTAAACAGGACACAATCCAACTATTATTGGTTCTCCATAAGTTCAGAAATCAAAGGATTAAGAAGCCCAGTACATAGTTATTCTCGAGAGACTGTTTCGAATTGTATATATTCGCCTATGGGTATGTGGCTACGTGAAAGCGCTCATGAGAACCAATGAGAAACCAATGAACATTCTGCGTCACTTACGTTTCGAAAGTTGGCTACGGTTTCCAATTGGACATCGAACTCTATTTGGTTTCACCCCGGACAACAACAATTGTAGTTTAATGGATGCACAATGAATAATGCACCGACANTCACATACGACTACGTTTTGAGGTCATTCCCGTTTGATCTAGAATTGTGCGAACTTAACCTGGACTGAACCGGGTCGGTCATCATAGGACATATGCGTTACCGACACACCTTGGAGATTTCTGGATGATATGGATGTTAGGATAGCATTCTACACGGAACTATGCGGAATGTACCCGGAGTCGTATCNTCACCTGAGAGATGGTCCTGTTCGAAAGGTTGACTATATTATATATTGGTTACCGTGCGAACACCCAAAAGGCTATAACACGATTAGTGCTACTTAAATAATGAGACGCTGAGTAACAGATTCGGTGAAGTAACACCGAAACCCAACAAAACATTTTCTGTTTCACAGTTGATGGGATACCTACACATTGCGAAGTTGTGAATTAAAGCCCCAAACTATATTCTAGTTAGACTCTACTGTCAGTTTGACTATATACATCACGTATTACAAACTAGAAGGTAGGCCAGAGGACACTGATTGTGAGCGGATTGCCCTCCGATGCTCTTATCGGTCATAAGATAAACGCGAACGCTGATTAAAGTCTACTATGAGTGGGGGTAAATTATTTGAAAGGAGATTCAGGTTTCCGATGTCAGTGAATTTAAACGAATGAAGTAGTCAGCTCCATTCGTATCGCTGCTTTGTTCACATTGATCAAATTGAATGTTGCCGAGAAAACACTGCAAGAGGTCGTTTAAGAAAACCGGACGAACCAACCGTTGCAGGGCAAAACGCAGATGCAAAGTGCTCAATATATGTTGTTGTTGGTGTGTTCTCCAAGCTCGACATGTTGTTCGCAGGCGTTTCGTAGCCAGGCTAGGCAACATCATCAGTGCAACTTCCAAGAAGAGGCAGTTCTCAGTGTGACCGCGCTTATGTAGTTCTGTTCGAGGATTTTGATTAGCTGTTTACAACCCTTTAATCCCATTGGTCAGTTGTGACCACTTACTGTGATTTGATTGGCTGCGTCGTTGTCATGGTGACGCCCCCTTTCCTCATTGATCGATTGGCTTTCTTGGACCAACAGTAAACCGCTTTGAACCGATTTAAAACTGATTAGAAACTGGCTCTGGGTTCCAGTTCTATGTATTCTTTTTATGCAGCCCCTCCTGGAGTGCTATGCTTCGATGAATTCCCCTATTTACTTTGTGGTTCCCCTTTCGTTTATTCTTTCGTTGCCCAGTTCGAAGATTTGATTCTCAGCATTCATCGGGATTGAGATTAGAGACTTCTCCTCACTGGTGACCCAAAACTGTCAGCTAAAACCGGCCCAGAACCACTTCTGACCAGTTTAAAACCGGTTCAAACCGATTAACGGTTGGTCGAAGAAGGCCGATCATCATGACAACGACAGCCAATCAAATCACAGCAAATGGTCACAGCTAACCGATGGGATTGAAGGGATGCAAACGGCCTATCAAAACTCGAATAGAACTACATAAACGCGGTCACACCGAGGACTGGTGCTTCCTCGAAGTTGCACAGATCATGTTGCCTAACCTGGCTACGAAACTTCTGCGAACAACATTTCCATCTCGGAGAACACAACAACAACAACATCCACATCTCGAGCTACAATCATCCCACATTATGTTCAATACATGCCTTTAAACCTATTTGAAATTTAAAACCAATTTGTACTGACAGGTCAAAGGAATGCTGATGAATTCAAAAATTTCCGGATTCATCTCAGAAGTAGTGATGCAGAAAGGTTTTTAGTACGATCAGAAAAACTATCGTGATGAAACAGAACAACAGATTACCTTTTGAAAAGACTGGATCCGGTTAAATGGGAACATACAGAAAAAAATACACATTGAGTGCTCGGCTACTAATATTTCTAAATGTCTTATGAAACTACCCGAACTGTTCTGCTTTCAGTGGCATTGTTCTTCCGATTTAATTCTACATAGATTGTGAACGAAAATCGTGTAAATGGATCGAACGCGTTTCCTGTTGGGGGGATTTCTCATTACTCTCATGCAAAAGCAATCATTTACTAGAAAGCATCATCCTACATGCTGTTTTGAATAAGATATTATTCACTTCTGAATTGTCGCTTTCGTACCGCGACACTCAAGGTCGCGCAAATTCAAACGTTGATACCAAGAGCATTGCAGTGGAAAATTCTCTTCACCCATGACTATCGATATACATGTATGGCACTAGAAACTAAAATGTATTTCCAAAATATGAATCATGTTGCTCGAGTTCGATCAATACTTGTAATATGTCCAGAAAGACAGACACTTCAGAAGAATTACGGTTAGAGTTAAGTGCAGGTTGGATGCAATGAGTGCTGAGCGGTACGAAAAAAGCCTGTGATGCATACCACATTGACGCGAAAACTGTTTTCTGCTGATTGTGAACATATTTTTGGTTGATTTACACCGTGACTAGCACACGTATGTCATAACACCACCATCTACTGTCTTTTGCGCTGGGGTCCAAATGGTTGGAAACCCAATGAGTTTTATATTTCCGCATTCTGGACAGCACCATATTTTCCCCGTTCTTCCGGTTGCATCAAATATGATACTTGTGAGCTGATTTCATGCAATATGTGAGAAACCATGGGTAGATATACCAATCCTTTTTTATCATAGCTACTTTATTTTGAGCATTATGTATAGAATGCTTGAGATAACCAAATCCAGAGTTCATACGTGATAAAAATATACCAGCGCTGCAACAATGATGAAACCAGTGGGACTGCATTCAGAAGCTCCGTCCTAGGGTCAATCAAGGACGCACAAAATAATGAAGAAACGTTCTGGAAGAGCAATACATGCCCAAACCTGGGGCAACCAACACAATCACACCATGCAGAGCTACGCAACACGAGGACAATTCAAGCTGAGCCAGATGGGGTTAAACCGTAATATCTTGACAACATGCAACTCCAAATGGACGGACTACAACCGAACAAATGCACAGTCCACGGTTGGCCCTCTGTCTATCAACTCGACGAATCTGAGGAACAGTTAGTCAGGAATTCTCAAGTAATTCCTTAGCTATCTGTGAGGGATTCGTAAGCCGCAACAAAACTCACAAAGAGACTGTCACCTCGGCTGATGAAGAAGCTCGAGGAGCAATTTGGTATCAAATATATAACACCTGAGTATCGTAGATCCCACTGGAATGGTTCAGGTCGGACGGCCTCACTGGTTAACTTATCCGATGTATCATCATCAATTTAAAACTCTTTCAGACTTGGTAAATTCTTAATGTCGATGATCCTGTATAAGAGGAATGATTCTTCATAAAGCAATGGCATTTGGCTAATGCCTTTCTTTTGTTTTTACAAAATGTGCAAAAAAATCGTCGGTTTTACCAGAAATGATTATGAACTTGTGGATTTTTTGATTTCTTAATCAATTCACCGAAGTTAGCGCCCTTTGAGGTTTTACATGCGCAGAAAAGAACTTCACGTACTGATTTCAAAAACCTTCATTTAAAAGGATGCATCAACTTTGGGGACAGTAGAGTAGTGGTACAAGGGGAACAATCGTAGACAAACACCTTTGAAAGCAATCGCGTTTGGCTGCTTCTTTCAACGGTTACGGTGGTGACAGCTGAAAACTTGGATCAGTTGATGGATGGTTAAGGAGGTGGGATTGAAATGATGATAGTAGTGTCCGGTGGGAGGTGAGGAGTGGCGAAACAGAGGGAGGAAGGTGGCCGGGTGTTTTGGGAAAGAGGGCTGAATGTGACTGTGGTTTGGTCGAAGGAGAGAAAAAAACAATCAAACGAACGAAGCCCATAAGCATTGAGGTGTGTTATCAGAGAGTGATTGAGGAGTAAACTAGGGCTGACAAACAAGAAAGTTGGGAGGGATGGGACGCATTGGTGTAAAAAGTACAGAGAAGGGCACCAATGATGTCCTTTTTATCGCTCTTCTATCGGACAGATGATGAGAGGTAAGAAACGAATCGAAGCAGGATGAAGCAAAAAATACGAACTCTATGCATTGAAAGTCAGCAGTACCTGTGTATTACGGGGTCTGTCCTTTGGTGTGTTTGTGTGCGTGTGTGTGTGTGTTTAATAAGTATTATAGACCTTATTCTAGACGGTTATGTTCGGTGTTTGGATCAAATGATTGCGCATCAAAATATGCAATCAGTTCCAAATCGCAACGTGTGTCGCCAATCGGAAGCCATTCCGGTTACAATTTCCATAGCAACGCGTTGCATTCGTCTTATTCTCCTTTGTGAAAAATAAATCGTATAGTTTGTTGTAAACGTGAGCAAACGAAATAGAAATTGCACACAAACACACACATTACATTGGAGTATTCGGTGAATCTCGTCCATCAATTTGTAGTGTCCAGTGTGGAACAGATTATTTTCATCGGTACTCACAGTCACGTGGACGGACCAAAATTTTCACGGGAAGATGAAAGAGAACGAAACAGGCATGATCTGTGACTGTGCTATTCATGGTATGTTTATTGCTGGTGGTGATGATGTTGACACCGTTGGCTATGAGAACGAGACTTAGGGGTAGGACAGTTTCTAGTTGCTTGAGTGGAACGGTAACAGTTTATTCACCACCAACTCAGTTATATTTATTCTTTTTCCTCTTCCGCATCACTAGCTACCGGTGTCTCTGTAGCTGAACTATCCTCTTCCTTTGCGGGCTCATCGACATTCTCTTTGGTGTCTGTCTTTGGTGGTTCCGGGACTTCGTCGGGGATCGGATTAGCCTCCGTTTTCGGCTCGGACAGGGATTCCACTTCGGACTCTGATTCCGGTCGTGCTCGTGGCCTTAATTCCGGTTCCGGAGTGGCTGAATGTTCTTTTTGTGTCTGTTCCACCGGTGCGGCGGCAGCGGCAATTTTAAACTTTACGGGTCTCCATCCGGACTGTGATCCGCTTTCCGAGGTCGCACTCGAGAGGCTAGTCGTGGAACTGCCATAGGCACTGGCCAGATTACCGATTAGTGAGCTGCTTGATGCCTGGAGTGCTGTAATGAGAACAGATATGGGATGATTTTACAAGTGTAGGCTTTCAAACGGGCATTCATCCCGCACATATGGTTTATGGACGACCTTGATACAAACTCGAAGCTGGCCCGAATCATCGTGTCTCGAGATCTGCCCGACCATTCAACTTGCTTTATTGAATGAATACGATTTTCAAAGTTAATATGGCTCAAAACAATTACTAATTCTGACCACCTCCTTGCAATTGTATTGAACTTCGAGAAGTTAAAGTCAAAGTTTAGTCGAAGTTTTATTATGGGAAGTACTAACAAGCTGTAGTTTTTCCTACACCATAGGGTTTAGCACAAATGGATCGATTTACTGTTTATAGAAAGACGAAAAATATCACAAACTATCCTTGTGTCGTACACTGTTACGGATGTTAAAATGTAAGACTTCTCAAAACTTTATCCAGTTAGAGCTTGAAACGCGTATACCGGTTGTTTTTGAATAGGATCAATAGACCTTTTTCCCAGCCAGCTCGCATTCTCTCTACAGAATGACACCGGCATTCTAGTCGACATTTTTGACGCACTAATTTGAGTGAGTGCCCCCTTAGTTGAGTGTTGGAAGACTAGGCGAATAACAAAAGAACGACATGGGTCGTGGTGGCCCGTTGGTAACGTCACCAAATTATCACCCCAGTGATGTGTGTACCAATCCCACCGCCTCTGCCTGACGTTCCCCATTATGTGTTGAATGGATAGCTTTTGATTGTCCGCTTCCTCCTTCCTGAAAATTGCATCTTTGTATGTTCAATAAAAGGAAGTAAAATGAACAAGAAGAAAGAGAAAGATCAGGGTTCTGCATTATTTGTTTCACCAAAATTTGCTCCCCACTTGAATTCGGGGATACTATGAAGAGTACACACTCAGTGATTCCAGTCTTTCCAAATAAGTCTTGGAATGCAGTGCCTGACCATTTTGGTGGCCATTCCTGTGACCATTCCAAAAACATAAGATCTCGTTGCAGCTATGGATTCCATGCGTGAATGGCGTACTCTATATGGAGTCCGATGTAGGCTGATAACAACCGTGGGAACAGTGTAGGTTCCAATTTGCCAAATACTCTCTTTAGCAAACCAATATGCCTTACAGCGGTAAACAACGCCCTGGAGCAGTGTAAAGAACAGCTTATGTGGTCTTGAACAACGACACCGAGATCTTTCGAGACATGTGGAGGTTGTTGATCTCCTAAAAAGTACGGAAACCGAGTTTTGTGGTGAACGAATACGACCGTGGATTTTGATGCATTGAATTCTATGTCGTTTTCGATCGATTATTGATAAGGAGCATTAAGTTTTCTCTGAAGTGCCATTTAATAAATACGTCACAACGTGCAAAGAGAACTGTGTGCTGTTCTTTATTTTGTAAAAATGACTGGTTTCTAAAATTCGAATAACTGTTCCGAGAACTAAATAAATTTTTCAGCTTTTCTTTTTCTGCTTCTTTCATGAGATCACACATTGCTGAAATCTTCCATTCTAACAGAACGTGTTCATTAGACCAAACCAAATTCAAATCGTATTTGACTTTTTCTAACATTCCAGTGCCAACTCTAATGAGACTGCACTGTATAGTCAATTTATTTTCCCATCCGGTTTTTTAGCCTTCCACATATGCGAATAGCTGTACTCATTTAGATTTCTTCTTCGGCCTAAATTGTCATCTATATAATGTGTGTACTTACTATTTTCTCAGTAGTTGATATTTGTTCGTAAATATCATGGGACTCAAATATTGCGGGAACATCGATAAACTTCGATGGAATGCCTGAATGTTTTATAGAAGTTACATTATGTCAACCAAAAGTCAGAAATTAAAGGAAACTAGATAAAAAATTAAATATATCCATTATAATCCCAGGAATATCGTGTACAAATAATAAATACATACAAATACATGTGTGAGAAAATCCGATACCTGAATCCATTTGACCAAATGGCTTTGGCATGGCTTCTGCTAATGCTGGAGCAGGTTTCGGCGGTGAAGATTCATGATTTGCGGCTAGAGAGATACTACCCGGTGTTTTGGCTGGTGCACTGTCCATGCGTTGTAACGGTTGCATGGGTTTCATCTGAGCCATGCTTCGATTGACCTGACCTTGTGCTGCTGGGTAGTTATCCTGCGTTTTCTTCGCCGGTAAACGTGAAGCCAGTTTGGATTTCAGCTGATCGTGCACAGTCGGTCCGGGGGCTGCGGCCATCATTGGTTGTTGCATTGGGGCTGGTGATCGCAAACGGACTGGACCATCTCCACCGTCAGTTGCTTCCGCATCCCATCGCTTGGCACGGGCATGCCTCTTGGCGAACATTTTCGCGCCACGACTATCAGACGTGTATAGGGCCGACGCAATGTCAAAACACTTTTGTGGATCCATATCCGCGTGACTGCTAGTTGGAAACACTTTGATTTTTTCCAGAAATTCTTGAACAGTTTTCGGTTGACCAGGCAACAGCGGTGGAGGTGGTGGAATTGGATACGTTTGTTTGTTGACGGGTTGCAAGCCCGGAAAACTCGGTGGTGGTGGTGGTGGTGGCGGCGGTGGAACAGGTGGAATCATATGTTCCAAATCTTCTTTGGTCGCCTTCAAGTTGAAAGAGGAAGTAATACTGAGAGTTATTGGCTATATGATGAGCGCTGGCACAAATTGTGCTATTTTACACGCGTCAGAATAAAAAAACTTACTGAAGAATTCTATGAATCTGCAAAAAACATCAAACTCAGCGCACTTCTCAAGAAAGTACATTTTTTAAATGTATTTGAGTCTAATTTCAATACCAGAAAGCAATCAGCAGTTTTTCAGTTAAAATCTACAGTTTTCAAAGGTTTGTTTGAAAAATGTTGAATCGGTACACATTTCCAGTATGCAAGCTGTGAGCGTGCAGTCGAAAAGGACAAGTTGACATGTCAGAATTGTGAATTGTGGCCCGCGATCACACCTACTCATAGATTTACGTGGATCTATCAGGAGTCTGAGTTCGAAGGCTGAATGAAGCCACTGGTGCATGATCACAAAGCATACTATCACGGGCTACTACAATCCCTTCTAATTGGTAAAAATCGTGAATCATCTGATCAGTACAAAATAGCCATGGGAAAATAAATGATTCAGTTGGTCTCAATAAAGCTCAGGAAACGGTTAGAAAGCGTAGTACTCAACAGACTGATAGCAGATCAGTTTGCTACAGCAGATCGTTCCAGCTAGGGTACATTCAAAATCTACGAAATGGAGTAGAAAATTAAACAAAAATAAAATATAAATGTCTTACGGCACGTGGTCACTGAATATGGAACTTGATACACTGAGAGTAGAGTGAGATTCAGTCCTTGCCTTTTCCTTTGTCGTCAGAAAAGGAGGTAAAGATGAAACAGTGGATTTCTTGTGGATATTGCTTCAAGAGACACACAACATATCCGAAACCATAATCATAAGTGAAGCCATATTTGAATGCCTTCTGTGGAGTGTTACAGATTGCTAGGGAGAATGCTACGGGATGGAATACAGTAAGAGAAATCAATTTCACGCCAAGAGTTATTACCTAATAGGTCTGACAACACTGTGAGAATAGAGCGACTAGATTCTATACTTTTCTAATTGGTTCATTGTTGTACTTTCCGAATTTTATTTGCACTGAGGTCCCACTCCACGAAAGGTTTTACAGATGAGGCACAAGCCTTTCGTAGACCACTGCGCCAAAAACAGATGCTGCAATCAATCCACTGCTGTCTCAGTTACGGTGTCAATGTAGGTAACATTGATGATATCGTATTCATGTTCATAGGGAGATATTTTCGATCTACAATCCAAGTTAGGACTTGACAGGATCTGGATGTTAAACTAAAACATATCATGTCAAATTTATTTCCCGGTGTCATTCGGTCAAGTTAGTTTGTTTCTGGTTTTCGGTGACTTTTAAATTTCATCTACATGCACAATGACGAACATCTCAACCGTATGCTTGAGATGAAATCTACTCAATTTGTGTTATTGTTTTTTAACGCAACAGTAATCCTTGGAGCTGAATTCCGGACTGCCCACGTGGATTGCATTTCTGTTTCTGAATTGACAAGGTTGATCCGGATTGCCTATATAGATGCACTCGCATGTCATTTTAACTAATTGTCAGACGGTTGCTATTTAAGCTAGACAACAGCGAGAGGGGACACATATGATCATCTATCGACACAATCAAAGCCTCTCCCTAAACCAGATTTTATATTCACATTCAAATGCTTGCACCGCTAGCATAGAGAACCACACCGTGTTTTTGTTAATGAAAGTAATAATACTCTTGTCACGATAACAAAATCATTTGACTTCTGCACCTCAAAAATAGCTCAGAGAACGATTTTCCGAATGGAGGAAACGAGATATCAGGAAGACGGAAAGGAGGGAATTGAACAAATCACATCCGGGCGATGTGACTGTAAATAACCTAACAAAGCCATTTCTACCTGTCTTCGTTTGTCCNGTTTGTCCCATGGTTTAACCTAAAAATGTTTAACTCAAAAATTAAAAGGAGAACATCACATTCAGTACGTAATAGCTGAGCGAATACTAACTGCCGCTAACTGGAGTGTACGACTCGACGCAATTTATGACTGCTTAACAAGTTGTACTGGATATCTTGTCCAAGTTCCGATCGTAAAAGTTTGAGCTATCCAGCTTTATGTCGAGTCCGAGCATTTCCATTTCTCTTGTCCGGACCCACCTACCACCTCTTCCCGCCTCGCTTCAGTCACCAGTTTGCATAACAGATAAAAATGTAAAAAAAAAAATCTGAGGTGGGCAAATTTTTCTCTCTCCCCCCCCTTCACTTTCCNCACTTTCCGCTCGTATTGGAAAAACGAATAACCCAACTGATAGTAGCCCGTTGGCTTTAGACTTGAACAGCGCGAGAAAATTTAGAAATGAAAAAAGAAAAGAATGCAGTTGGAAACTCGAGCTATGTTTCCGTAGAGATTTGCGTCGGATATAGTTAGTTTTACGATGTCTCTAATATGAAAAGCGTGCATCGAATGGAATGGAAAAATCAATAAAATGTGTTTCTGTTGATTACTCTTCTAGTCGTGCATGTTATATATATATATATTTATATATGTGTACATTCACATCTAGATATAAATTCTATCAAAACTATACAACTGGAAGTGAACTGACAACAGTGTACGAGTTAATAGTTTCGGCCTGATAAAGTGAATATAATTTAATTATGGACTATCATCTTAGTATTACGTTTCTGGTTTGAATTGCGATCACGTTTGAAGACAGCGGAATCTCTCCCTGTCCCCAAGTCACAGTAGATCAAAATTGGTCCAATGACACTATTATAAGTATAGTTTGTTCATCCAGGTGACAGATCATATTTGTATTACATAATCTGCACATGTCAAAATTGTTTATTTCTAAGGTGTCTTGACTGCGATTGGAATTTGGAGACCTTAATAGTTTATCACGCGAAAATGAAGTGAGCATAACTTTTCTGGACCCTCTACGCATCTAGATGTTGGGTCAGTTACTTTTCCAACTAAACGTTCAAAGATAACTTCATAGTCGACCTGGCACTCTCTAATACTCGGATGATGGCGTTTTTAACCGAAGGAAAAGGTTTCTATCCGAACCAAGGTCGAGTCCAATGTTGGATAGATTGTATACATACCATTTACATGACTGGTGATGTGCTTTTGACAGAGGGTGCATTTTAACGTTGGCAACCTGAGCTCATGGTGGTTAATACCAATCTCTTGAGCCTACACTATAAACCGATTTCTGTTGTTTTAGGTGAACATATCTGTATTAGACTGGTTTTGAGACGCATCCATTTGAAGTACAGCAATCATAGGTGCAATAGTATTCTCTTTCCCAACTTGTATATTGGTCTTTGTCAACAGAACTAATTATTATGTTCAAAACTTTGGATCATAATGGTGTCATATCTGCGCACTTAGTACACTATGTATTGTATTGAAATGCTAGGGCGTAGATATCTTTCGATTGAAATCATACAGTTTTAGAGCCTTAAATTTGAAATAAATTCAGTTCCAATGTAAATGTTTCCATTACATTTCACGGTGTTGATTTTTGTCGAAAGAGACTTATAAAATTGAAGGCACAATTAGCATCACCCACGAGGGGGATAATTTTACCAATAAAAGTTAAATGAAAAATTTCATATAATTCATCCCCATCAATTTGACAAGACTCTGTGATGGTTCGATTTAATTAAAAGTTTATTGGAAACTGACTTGGAATGATAAATACACAATGGTAAACTTTTTAACCGGATGTGCTGCTTTATGTATGAGACACATATATAAGGCAGATATTTCAGAGGCCGCTCTGTCACAGGTGGGCGATAATTGACGAACGGGTGATTCGAATATGAAAAGATCGGTGTCATCGGTATGACCTCGTAGCTCAGCCGTTAGAGCGTGCGTTGTACAAAAGCGCAGGTGGCGTTCATGTGTGGGTTCGAATCCCACAAGGGCTACTGAGCTTTACACAATTTCAATACAAAACTTGAACCCGTCAAAGAACAATTTGAAAATATGAGAGAATGAGACAATGATAAATGTACGGAAACAAAAGGGATTTAAACGTTCAAATGGCGTTAGACTGTGATTTTTGACCTGTTTTCTCTTTAATTACGTTACGCGACATATTTCTATCAGTTTTTAAAGCTTACCATTTATAAGTGCTTCCCGGATTGCGTGGTTGGTCTATTTTAATCCAATTCTGAACTCGTGCTTTTTAATAGACTCTGTATCTTTACAAGTGGATATAAATGTTTCGAAAACGATCTATATCGGGGTATTCTAGAGCAATGAATGGAAAGAAGTATAAATGACTTGAATGCTGCTAGAGTTATATTATTTCATTTACCACGTTAATTAATTTGAACTCCCAACTATATTCGAATAACTGATCCATGGAACGCAAAGGGAAGTCTCAATTAACTTTTGAAGATAAGACGTTGAAATAAATAACCTTATTGATTAATACTTGCAGACTTGCAGACATGGGAGGTCCAACATTTTGTGGAGGTTGCACAAAACGTTTGAATAGTTTGCTTGGGTTCTACTGAACATCTCGATCTCGGGCTCGATTCAGAATCCGTCACGACCGATACTCGCACTAACGATGAAAAAAACAGTTCATTCTAGGTTTTCGAGGTCACATTTCTTTCGTGCTGCATTGGAAACATTCTACTCAGTCCAATCAAACCAATCACTAATTTCTCTTTTTCTATTTCCCCATGATTCAGTATTTCCTGTAGCATTTATTGATTTGTTTTAGGTGACAGTACCCAAATGTTTGAATCTGATATATATATATATACATATAAAATTTATGGTGTATTTCGTCAGCTCACTCTCTGCGTTATCTCAATCGCGGTTGGTTTGATCGATACATCCTATTCCGTTCCAGGTATTTGGTCCAAACGATCATTTTCATCATTCGGTACTTAAAGGATGGAGACTGTGTTGGTAATTTTTGGATGAACATGAGTTTGGGACGGAATATGATATGCAAGCAGCACACTAACGATTTGTGAATCAGGATAGCTTTGAGGGGTTTTTCGA